CAAATGTTTTGAGAATGATGATGGCAACAAATGTACAAATGTGCTTGACACAATGGATGGATGTATCGATTGTGAAAAGAGTTGTATGAGCCCCCAATAAAATGATTAAAAACAAACAAACAAAAAAAAAACGTTGCTTTGTTTTGAAGATCTTGAGGGTTAAGAAAGCTACTGGTCATGGAACTTTCATGAGAATCTCTGCTCAACAGTGAAGAAGGCAGTCAGGGACAACAGCATAGTCAGTGTCAACATTTAACCAGGCCCACTTCCTATGGCCAGGCTAGTCATTCAGTTCAGCATCCCTGCCTCTAGATGTCGCTATTGTAATTTCTTCTCCCTATAGCTGTTTTGACTTGAATGGTTTAAACCTTGTCAGTTGATCCCTCCCATGATGCACATTGGACTTGACCTGGTTTTCAAACTTTTCTGTATTTTTGTTTTGTTTGTTCCTATTGAGGTTTAGCTCAGATGTGTTATGTCATTGGGGGTCACCCTCTGAAATCTGTGTTACATGTTTTTCTATTTCTCAGTATACAAGGCCCAGGATTGATAAACCTATAGGGACAGCAAGAAGAATAAGTGGAGGGTGTACCGTGGTGGTAGGCAGGGGAGGTAAAAGGGAGCTGATGTCAAGGAGCCGAAGAAGGAAAAGAATGTTTGGAAACGGCAATAGTGATTGTTCAGTACTGCTTGAAGTGTCTGAACAATGGAATAAAACGATATAGGAATTGAGTCCCAATTTTTAAAAAGGAGAAACCATAAAAAAGAAATAGACAATTACAAATTTGACGAAAATATCAAAAATCAGATATCTAGTAAAAGTCTTGTATCAAGCATTCATAAAGAATATTTTAACTTACTCTTTATACGTTATGGTCTATTTCTAATTAGTCTAACTATGCTCTCCCACAATGCTGTTTTTAAAATAGATATAGAGAACTCTTCTTTCCTCTACTCAGTGCTGTTGATGCAGTTGATATTACAAGGTTGCAATGTTGTCACAGGTACACTGCCAAAGTAAACCTGAGACATGAAAACCCATGGACAAGCAGATGGAGTCTGGATTCCTACTTAGCTCTCGCCCCAATTGAAGAACAGTTCGTTCTGATAACATGGCCCTGCTCCATATTCACCTTCATGACAGGCCCACTGAAGATAAGGGCGCTACAGCAAAGCGTGGTGAAGAAAGCAGATGATGCCTGGCTATGAATCAGAATAATGTCTGGGGTCTTAAAGGCTTGTATTCAAACAAGAAGCCACCTCCATGAGGAGTCAACTAAATCCACATGGATGAAGCGCACCGGCGTGTGAGATCCAAAGACGACAATCACAAAATATGATTATGGCAAAGGGCAAAGCATCAGAGCTCAAATTAGGAACACCCAATTCGTTGCAGGCTACGGAGGAGAGTGGGAGCCCCAAACCCACCTGCAGAGTCTCTGGCGAGACTGAGCCGCTGGCAGATGTGCGCTAGCCATGGCCAGGAGCCTCCCACAGCCTGGCTTTTCCAGCAGAGACCACTGTCCTCCTTACTGTGCTGAATCAGACATCAGTCTCGGGCACAGGACCTCCCCATCGCCCCAACCTGAG